GAGAGAGAGAGAGAGAGAGAGAGAGAGAGAGAGAGAGAGTATAATACAGATGCGTTCACGTACAGGTTCATTCTTACAAAAGTTCCAAGTTTAAATATGTGTGTTTGTTTGGGGAGGGGGTCTTTTTCAAAGGGCGGTGGTTGTTAAGTGCTCATAACGGCACGTTTTGTCGGTGATAAACGGCATGGCAAAGTATTTACATGTTTCTCTTTGAAATTATGCACAATTTAGGGAGATGTAGGTATGTGCGTTTTGATATTATAGAATATTAGAACTGACTGCATTTTTCTCATGAAAAGAAAACACCGCCTCCGTTCATAGCTGCACTATCCGAATGATGTCACAAAAGACAGCCTCACACTCGGTCACCTGTCTTCTCTAAACGGAGCAGCCAAAGAATGTGTTCATTAATCTTTGTTGTCTTCTCGGGTGGCCCAATTTGCAAGTAAAATTCTCGGAAAATGAAATGTGAAGTTCTCAACTAAGACAGGCTAAGGGCAGTGCAGTGTTCCTCCTAGACGTTTGCTTTCTATCACAGTGAGGCAATTTGCCACCGCCCTATTTGTGACTCAGTCTTTTTTAATCCTATACAAGGGTTCACTGCGTTCAGCGCGTTCCTGCTGTCAGTTTGAGAATCGTGTTGTCGTTCTCTCGATGTTCAAGACTTAGATAGATTTCCCTTTCCTCCCGGCCTTCGGTGGGTGGTTGGATTGTGCCACGGGTCTTACAACTTTACTTTCCTTCCATTGTTTCTGTCTGTCTGTCTTAGCGCTAAATAACCATTATTGTGTCGATGTGCTTCTCTTTACTCAAACAAACAAAAAACACCCTTCGGGTCCAATGCTACGGTGAACAGGAGTTGTTATTTGTCATTACAGCTCTGTCTGTTCTAGCATTAGGATATAATAAAATTTTTCTACAAAAGATCAATACTGAAGACAAAGAAATACGTTTTTGAATGTAGTATGTCGTTTTTGTTAGAAAGATATAGAAGATAACTGGCATTGTGTCCCGACATCCAGGATTTCTCGGAGCGGGGGGGGGGGGGGGGATAGGGGGATATAAAACAGTTACAGACCAGTCTGTTGTCCCATAATGGGGGCGCAACTCCCCACAGTAGAGGAATGTAACGTCACTCTTGACTAAAACTGAGGGATTTAGGGGATGTTATCGCTCTGTTCCTAAGCCCGATCCCCCCCCTTTCTCTCTTTTTCTCTCGCGCTCTCCCTCTCTCTCTCTCTCTCTCTCTTTTTCTCTCTCTATTTCGCTCTTTCTCTCTCTCTTTCCTTCTCTTTTTCTCTATCTCTCTCTATCTATCTATCTGTCTGTCTGTCTATCTATCTATCTTACACGCTCACTTTTTGTTTCTTTTTCCCTCTCCCTCTCCCTCTATATTTATCTATCTATCTATCTATCTATCTATCTATCTATCTATCTA